TTTGACAGGAGCAGCCGAGATGCTGAGTTCGATCTGAGATTGATAAGTGATTTCACACCTTAACTACTGAGCCATCCCGGCTCATAAAGACAGTCAAAACGGATTCACAATTTTTATGAGGCACATACGAACAGATTTGACCTCTTGTTTTCGAAAGAGCTCAAAACAGACATGCATAAAAACGTAATTATCAGTCAGCACTGATCCGCTTAATCTCCAGACATCGGATAACTGAGTGCGAATAGATGATAAAACTGAGTTTTGTATTCCGTTTGAGTAGCGAGACCAGTGGACATTTACTTTCACAATGAAACTGAAACGGTCACCATTGTGTGGGAGATGCTCCTATTCAGGTCCAACTATCGAAGAGAACCATACATTCCAGATTATGATCACGCCGGAAACAAACACGCCAGGACACGGCCTCGGGTTGAAGTTAGATAGAAAGCCCATGTTCTCACATCGAAATCATTTCGAGATCGGTACCTTCTCAAGACACAAGAAGCATGTGTACTTGGTTACAGTTAGGAATGCCCGTATGCGAGAGTGGTGACGATAAGAACAGGACCAGTAATGTCAAGGCTTTCTTGGGAGGGACGATCTGAGGACTGACCAAAAGTGCCGTGTTCTGAGAAATGCTTTTTGTGAGTAAGAATATACCACCGAGTTGTTGCAAACGAACAATTAATGGTGAATTTTTTAGCACGTGGTCATCCCAGAAGGACAAGACAGGAGTAACCCAAAAACAATGTTTTGAACATGCGAGTATTATTGAGATCAGTTCGCTCATATTCTGAGGCACTAGGATCTGATGAGCTCTGCGGATGGAAAACCAAATGACGACACAGACTTTATATGTTAACCACACATTTTTTGAGGAATCCCTAGTCTAATTGCGGGTGACCAAAACGGGTTTAAAAGATACGTATTCCCTGCGTTTCTAAGCTTGTGGTATTCATATATACAAAGGGTATCCAGATTTTTTAGAACGACAACTTCAAATGACATGTCTTACCTATGCACTGTTGATGGGATTCTTTGAGAGGTTTCATCCAGCAAGTAGGTCATCTGACACCTTACACTAGTTAATCAATCACTGACTGTTGTATCGTGGGTGGCTGTCTATTGGTTACGCCTGCACTGAGCCTGACAGACTATGGGATAGGTAGAAGACAGAGAACTGGGGACACGGCTGTATTGCCAGGACAAAACATACAGACTGTCTGCGTGATATATGAGAAGAATAAATGCCCGAATACGGTCGTTCACTTGTTCGCTCTGTACAGCCAATGGCGGTGTTCCGGTCGTGAACAATCTCAGGCCGCTGGTCGTATGTTGCTAAGCCATGCTTGGTGAGCTCCGCCAACGCACCTGCTTTCTGGACGTGTCGTACCGATGGTGACCTTGGGGGTGCGTCACTCTCTGCACATGTACTTTTTCCGTGTCTGGGTGCGTCCTGACACTGAGGGATTCGGCCATTTGTCCCCTACTGTGAGCTACCAATGAAATGCCACAGGATTACAGACATTTCCCGCAAAACTCACCTAATCTATGGCATATCTCAATCGAGTTCGAGATAGCTCAGTGGTTAGGGCGTGAACTTACTGATGAGAAGATCCGTCGTTTGACTACTCTGGTCCAGGCTTGGGCAACCCGACAGTACCTCAGCCCTCCTTCGAGCGGTGTGGCTGCCGAAGGGTATTGCACCTAAATGATCTAACTTTCACAACAACTATGCACAAATGCTCAGTAGTGAAAAAAAACCACCAAGTCACCTGATTTGATATTACCGGACAAACAGAAGTCCGTCATACAACAGTTTCAGTACCACCCTGAAAAAAGCAAACTGTGTCGGTTTTCACATAGGAATTCGCAGGTAGCATAGACTAACTATTGATACTGACATGTTAAAGGCTTTTGTCCGACAGAGAGTATATTGCACGAGAAAGTATAGGGATTAGAATTTCGATCATGCCTTATTTAGCGAGCCGTCATGTTATACAGAATGTGGAAACAAGCAAGCGGTGCAGTCAAAGATTGAAACAGAAAAGGAAACAATAGATTTGACAATGGCTGCCATTCACAAGTCGTATGTGTTGCTGTGCACAGTTCGACCAAACCCCACTTCGGAAAAACACACAATTGATGTGTACAAAAGGTTGAATCAGAGCCTAAAACTTTAAAATGAGTATAGAAATGTGGCCGAAAAATCTAGATATCCGAAGCGGAAGTTCGCTGAAAATCCGCTCTGTGGACCTCAAAGGAAGACAGATGTAGTGTCCTCGAATTACGGCAAAAAAACTATTGCGAACGATGATAAAACCCTGAAGCTAACAAGTGATTTTGAGTGAAAAACTGCAATGGAGATAGTTGGAAAATTTAGCTGATTGTGGAAAGCGACCCACACGTAGTTCGCCCTAGAAAAAAAACACCAAGTCATCTGATTTGATATTACCAGACAAACAGAAGTCCGTCATACAACAGTTTCAGTACCACCCTGAAAAAAGCAAACTGTGTCGGTTTTCACATAGGAATTCGCAGGTAGCATAGACTAACTGTTGATACTGACATGTTAAAGGCTTTTGTCCGACAGAGAGTATATTGCACGAGAAAGTATAGGGATTAGAATTTCGATCATGCCTTATTTAGCGAGCCGTCATGTTACACAGAATGTGGAAACAAGCAAGCGGTGCAGTCAAAGATTGAAACAGAAAAGGCAACAATAGATTTGACAATGGCTGCCATTCACAAGTCGTATGTGTTGCTGTGCACAGTTCGACCAAACCCCACTTCGGAAAAACACACAATACAAAAGATTGAATCAGAGCCTAAAACTTCAAAATGAGTATAGAAATAAGTGGCCGAAAAATCTAGATATCCGAAGCGGAAGTTCGTTGAAAATCCGCGCTGTGAACCTCAAATAAAGATACATATAGTGTCCTCGAATTACGGCAAAAAAAACTACTGCGAATGATGATAAAACCTTGAAGCCAATAAGTGAATGGAAAACTGAAATGAAGATAATTGGAAAATTTAGCTGATCCTGGAAAGCCACCCACTCGTATTTCGCCCTACTGGGACGCGTTAGACGAAGCTGGCAAGGTTGACTACGTGCCACTTGAAGCAACAGTTGTTCATTTTCGATTGCAGCACGGCACAGCCACTGACCACGCCGATGTACATCGTGAACATGCATTCAGGTTACTTCATGGCTCAGCTCATGAGAAGAAGTTGTCAGGAAGTTCGATTTACCATCGAAACGGAAAAACTCGTCTCTTGCCTACCACTCGTACCTCTTCTGCTTTACACCCTGTGACAAAACCATAGGGCCACTCAAGTTTTTTCACCACAAATTCACCCCGAGAACATGGAAGTAAATTGAATCTTCGGTCAGTAGGTGAGAAATCCCATCGAATATTACTTCAACTAATTAATTAATTAATTAGCAGGTGAGAAAATTAGAGGACAATTCCATGATACCGTATCCTTGCCAGAAATGCCGGTGATAGCGTGAAAGCAGATTTAATGAGTAGGTGAATGACGTTCGTGTTTCACAGCAACCACCAATTTGTGAGTTTGTTGACGTTCACATCTCTGTACACCAGCTAGTGTATTGCACGGGAGGATCTACAACACTGAGTACATCCACAGACTGGAGTTCTCTCACTCACTGGCATGACTACAAAGGAGGGATAAGCAAACAAGATAACGCTATGGTGGTCCATTTCTTTCACATAATCGAGAACCGGCTTCCATTATTGATTGTTTGATCAGGTTATGTTCGCCGGGGAACAAATCAACCGCCACGTGATCAACGACCAGAAAACACACCCGAGCTGCCCACGCTGGTTTCTATTAGATCTCGCGACGTGAGACCAGCTAACAACTTGTAGTTCTGATCTGTATTCAACTAGGACCACTTGGGGGTATACCAGGGCAGTGAAGATGTGAGCATTTATGTGTCACCAACTAAGACGGTGGCTGCTGTGAGACAAACATAATTCTCATTAAAAGTATTAGGGGGATAGAGTTATCGAAGCCTTGAGGTGAAACGGTCAACAAACTAAGGCCAACGTCTGCCTCAACGAAAAGGTACCATGTGACTGTATCATAATTTTGTCGTGCTTGTTTTTCACCTTATGGAAGTTCCATAGATTCTGGCTTTGATTTTCGATCGGATAAGTCACCTACTGACTGAAAATACAGTTCAGTTCCATTCCACTAGAAGTGAGAAACACATTTTTAGTCCTTCACTAAGGTGTAAAACGGTTAAAATAATGACCACT